GCCCCCGCCCACGACGCCGCGCGCCTGCGCGTTGGGCGCGGAGTCTACCACCTGCTCCCAAGGAGGGGGGGCGAGAGCGGGAGGGAGGAACGCCGAGGGAGGAACGCCGAGTGCGAACGCCCGGGGGTGCCTGCGATCCAAGCTCGGAAGCCTGGCAAAGCTGCTCCTGTTCTGTTTGCCCCGAGGTAGCACCTTAGAAAAGGCGCAGAGCGCGACGGGCAGGGCTCCCTGCGTGCTGAGTCAGGGCTCCGAAGCCAGGAGCATGGGGTGTACCTCAGTCTTCTGGTCTGTAAAATGGAGTCGTCAGGCATGTCTCAATTCCTGTTGGGAAGGTCGATTGAGATACTATTTAAGGGGCCGGCAGGTGGCATGGTGGTTGGGGGCGTTGAACTCCCACTTGGTCTGCCGTTGTTCAAATCCTGGACTTGGTGGCTTGCTTTCTCACTTTCCCTCTCTTTCTTTCAATCTTTCCCTCTTGTCAAATTTAAATAGATAAATGAAGTTAAATAAAATAATTCTTAAAAAAAAAAACTATTTAAGAAAAAAAAAAACACAACAACACGGGAAGGCAGGGCCTCTTGACAGTGAGGATGAAGGAAGGGCCTTTGACCCATGACCCTTCAAAAGTAAGAACTCCAAAAGTATTTTTTTTCCTTAAAATTTCAAGTTTGAAAGCTACAAAGGAAGGGGAAAAGAAGAAAACTTTTAATGTTTTATCACTTTATCTTCTTTTCAGTAGATGAAAAGTCTTTATAGGATGTTTTTATACTTATTCTAAGAGAATTATCTCATTTGTAGTCTGACAACTTACAGCTGGTTGTTCCCTCCATTACTGAAACTGAAACTTAGTGGGGGTATATACTCAGAACCTCGGTGTCCCGGCAAGGGTGACCTAACATCACACCCGTTATTGTAAAGCAGGGTCAGGGAAGTTTTTCTGTAAAGAACTGTATAGTAAACACTTTGGCTTTGTGGGCCAAAGATCTCTTTCTCAACTACTTAACTCTGCCACTGGAGTTCAAAAGCAGTCATAGAAATATGGGCCGTGTCGCTCTAAAGATATACGTATCTGTGCTGAAATTTGAATCTCATAGTTTTCACGTGCCATGAAATATTCTTCTGAGCGCTTTGCAACACCTTCAGCCATTCTTAGCTCAAGCCTTAGTTTGCCAGTCACTGTAAAGTACTGCAGCTGGATGGGAAGCTCTGAAGACCCCTGTTCTGAAACAAGGGGGACTCCAGCAGGGAAGACAGACAGGTGAAATCAATCGACTGAGACAAGAAGATGAGAGCCGGATAGTCCTGCACCAAGTAGGCGTGGGTGCACAGGTGGGAGTTACTGAGCAACGTAAGTAATTAAGTCCAGCCAGGGAGGAGGCAGCTGTGGAGCTGAGTCTTGGGAAACGTATAGGATTTCCATAGGTGGGGAAGGAGATGTCAGGCATTCCTCAACGAGAAAATCAATTGAGAAGAGGACAGTTGTGGAAACGTGTGGGCGAGGCTGGGGCTGGCAGTGACTGGCGGGATAAAATGGAACGTGAGGCTGGCATGGTAGGATTGCCAAATTTGAAACGTAGATCATTAATATCTATTGTATGGAACCTGAATGATAGCATTTCTGGGCATATTGCAAAAGGGGACAGCGCCTGTTAGCCGAGGGAGACTACAGCCCAGTCTTCCCTGTTCTAAACTTGAGAACAAAAGGAGAGCTAGGGCCCAGGAGCCCTGGAGTCTGAGGACCGTGACAGCTCAGGAAAACCACCTGTGCTTTAAAAAAAGACAGGAGATGATTATGTCGCTAGACTCCCATGGAGTTGACTTGAGTCCTGAACCTAGTGGCTTTAAAAAGTCAGATGCATGTGTGTGCATGCGTGCGCAAGATCCCAAGAGGGGAAAGGATTGCTGTGTAGCCATCCCCTGGGGGTGGGGGTGGGGTGATTTCTCATTTTCTGTTTCTCTGTCTCTCTGAGCACAGATATCCTATAGCAAAAATCTCTCATTAAAAACAAAAAGAGGAGAAGGGGCCAGCAGGTGCTGTGGTGTTTAAGGCTCTGGACTCCCCTATGACCAACCATGGTTTGAGGCCTGGACCCATGCTGGTATGTACATGCCTGCCCAAAATCCTGAGAGGAGAATGGAGAGAAGGGATTGCTGGTGACCATCTCCCCTGGAGAGTGTTTCCTCACTTTCCTTCTCTCTGTCTCTCTAGTGAGCACATATGCCCTATGGCAAAAACCTAAAAAAAAAAAAAAAAGACTGGAGAAAGCTGGTGTCTAGGGGGAAATCCACCATTAGAAAACGACTGCCCACCGGAAAGTAAACTCCGTTAACCTTGATCCGTCCTCTGTGCATAGAGTGCCTGGCACTTAGGAGGTGCTCAGACATTTGTCTTTTTTTTTTAAAAAAGAATTATTTAATTTTATTATTTTAATTTGACCAGAAAGAGACACATGCACAGAGAGAGAGAGGAAAAATAAGTAAGCAAGCTACCAGGTCCAGGATTTGAACCATGATCGGCCACAGTGGGAGTGTCTAGCACCTTAATCACCACACCACCTGCTAATCCCTGAGGTTTGTCTATTAAAAGAATACATAACCTTACAGTTAATGAGAAATGTCAGGGTGAGAGAAAACACTGAGAGGGACGATATAAAAATAGTGCTAAAATCCAAAAGGCCTAGGCATGATTCAGTCCTACCTATCCTGATTCTGGTGACTGTTATCTAGCTAAGTGCTCAAGAACTAAACATGGCGGGTGCATGTGAGTTCCCAAATTCCCAAAAGAAGGGAGGTGGAGAAGGGATTGCTTTGTGACCATTCCCCATGGTGGTATGCCCGCCCCCTCCCTATATTCCCCCCTGCAAGTGCACACACCCTCTGGCAAGAAAAAAAAAAGTTAGCTCAAGAGGAATGGGGTCCTTTCAGAAATTAAATTCTGACACTGTCCACGAGCAGCCAAAATACGATGGCTCAGGCGCTGTGAATCATTCCATCTTTAAAAGGAGTTGCAGGGAAACAACTAGGGGAGAGTGTGTGTGTGGGGGGGAGAAGGACAGTGTATGTAATGGAGAATGAGTTTAATAACTCACTTGAAAAGTTTTCCAGAGTCGTGTTCACTAGACTGAGTGCCCAGAATTGACCATATCTCCTTTCGTTCATCCGTTTTTCCTCCATTCTGCCATCATGCTTTGGTTCCCCATACCTTTTCTAAAATCTCCATAATTGTTCATGTAAGTTTGTTTTCCCCTGTTCTTTTTTTTTTTTAAAGAATTATTTTTTATTTAACTTTATTATTATTCCAGTTTGATAAGAGAGAGACAGACCGAGAGAGAGAGAGAGAGGGAAAGCAAGAAAGGAAGCTGCCAGGTCCAGGACTTGAACCATGGTCATCCATGTGGGAGTCCAGCATCTTTAACCACCACACCACCTGCTGGCCCTTTTCTCCCCATTCTAAAATCATCCCTGTTGGTACGTCTTTCTTAACTGAACTTTTCCTGAGGTACTTCTTCCCTCCCCCTGTTCTTCTCTGTCTTTTCTTTCATGTTTCTTAGAAAATTACTGTTTCTTCCAAATCATAAAACTGATGCTCCAGAAAGATTTTTAAAATGTATTATAACTTCAAAAATCACTTTTTTTTTCTTTCAGAAGTTCCCAGAGCTTAGTCTATTCCAGATTTTACCCTTCCAGAAATTATTTTTATAAGTGGTAGCTATTCTTTGCTGTTCATTCTCTATTACACTCTCCTTCCCCACCTTCTCTCCACTCTCCCCTAGCTGTTTCCCTGCAATTCCTTTTAAAGATGGAATGATTCACAGCGCCTGAGCCATTGTATTTTTGGCTGCTCATGGACAGTGTCAGAATTTAATTTCTGAAAGGACCCCATTCCTCTTGAGCTAACTTACTACTTTTTTTCTTTTTTTTTGCCAGAGGGCATGTGCACTTGCAGGGGGTGTGTGGGGAGGAGTGGGCATATCCCCATGGGGAATGATCACGAAGCAAACCCTTCTCCTCCCTCTCCCTTCTTTTGGGAATTTGGGAACTCACATGCACCCGTTGTGTTTCTCAAGCTGCCAGGTCCGGGATGCGAACCATGGGTTGGCCACGTGGGATCCAGTCGCCTTAACCACCATGCTGCTGGCTGGCCGGAGCTAATTTACCTTTTAAGATTGCCATGGCATCTTCCCTAATGCTTCTTTGACATTTCTAAAGTCCAATTGCCTAAAGTTGAGGATATGTTTCCTCACATCCAACATTCCCTGCCCTTTTTAATCACAAACTACTACGCTTTGGACAAAGTTTTGATCTGAATAAGATTTAAGGTAGTGCATCCCGTTACGGCGTCCTCTATGTCTTGCAAGATAGAATGGACAACAGGAGAAACTATAAATATCTCAGTGCTGTATTTTGAATGATACGTGACCCCCAGTAGTTGTCTGCGTAACTGGAGAACCCCGCCCGAACTTCATCTTGCCTTTGAGATAGTTTTGTGAACTGTCTCTGGAAAATGAGTATCGGGAAACACTTTTTTTTTTTTAAAGAATTATTTTTTATTTAACTTTATTATTATTCCAGTTTGATAAGAGAGAGACAGACCGAGAG